TGTCAATGACTATAATAACTCTGAGCGTTTTTCTATCGTCACAGGCATGATGAGAAGAGCAGGGAGGTGTTGCGGTTGACCCGCCTCCAGCCCGAGCTTCCCTTGAACAACGCTTCGGTATAGTGTTGCCGGTTTAGAGGTTTCCCCGCTATATTTAGCAATTTTATGGGTTGTCTAGCGTGATAGGATAGCCGTTTTGCGGTTGGCGCGACTTTCCGCGATTTTCGAGTCATGTTAGCGTCCTTTCTGGTAGTCCATAGTGTTTTACAGTTTACTCTCTCAATCGTAAATAGTTTAATTTTTGTGATTGCTTTAAGTCATTAGGTCACCTCTACTGGGAATTGGAATTTCTCGCCAAGCATGTCAATTTGCTCATTGAAGCTTTGAACTGCCACCGAACCTTGCACAAAAGATCTCAACTATGAAGTTGTAAACTCTGCGACCTTGTTAACGGGAAAAAGCATCGCTGTTTTTTTTTTTTCTTTGAGTATTGAAGGGCTGCTTTGAAAACTACTAGAGTGCGAAAGGTTCATTTGGTGTGATAACCATGTCAGCCAGTGCCCCATTCCACGCAAAAATAAACAAAAACTAAGTGCCGTAGTTGTGTTTGCTCTAACTCTGTCGCACAGTGTGCGTAGGTGGGTATCTCCAGACAACAGACCTAGTAACACCTGGTAACAAAAAGATCATGCAGTGGACATCATTCTTTGCATGGAAGCACTCTGAGTCAAAAAAGAGCTCTCTTCTTAGGGTCCCTCATTTGATGTGCTGCCTTTAGACCAATTATAACTGTAAACAGTGTTAAAAATTGTGATTATCCTGCGCCTTGTATTTAGCGGTTTTAAGAACTCATTTAGCGTTTTTTTTTTTTCTATTTTTAGGTTGGAAACGGTGCCTCCGTATCTCTCGACCATCGGGCGCGCGCGTGCAGCCATAGCACGGGGGAATGCAACGAAGGCATGAGAGACTGGGCATTCCAAAAAGACGCCCAAACCTTATTATCCTATCAGTGACTGTAACACCTCTGATTTTCTAAGAAGGGACTGGTAGCCGAGCGTGTGAACGCAACCCAACTCAAAGTACGTGCACTCCTGCCCATTTCGTTCCGAATGAGCGTCGTACCGGCATGCGGTCGTGCATTACTCCTGCGTGATGCCCGTTAGAGATCCCAGGCTAGCAGTGGTATATTGCACTGACTAATTTTTTTTTATCTACAGTGAAGAGACCAGGCGCCCACTGGTGCTGACTAACTTCCCGCCATATAAACATGCACACAACAGAATTACTTCTGATTCTCTATGGTTGTTCGTAAAAGGTTGAACTAAGAAAAAAAAAAGTCGCTGATATTCCAGTTAAAGGATATGATATCTATACTGATCGCTTACTTGTACTTGCAGAACTTGCAGTAGCACGCCAACGGCGGATGGATACGATCGGGCACCAATGTCGAGAAGGAAAGTCGTCAACTTGATGATCACGACAGCTCTAAGACATTGTAGCAGCATAGCGCCGAGAACAATGGGGGGTCGTTGGCCGAAAGCGTTTGACGCACGAAATTTGCCGTTGCGACGGCAACCAAATGTATCCAGATTCTTTCTTCAACATAAGCGGGTAATGTAGTCGTAATAGATATCACATAAGAAGGGTTATATCAGCACTCGAAAGCGGCACAATAAGGCTCAGAGTTATCTCACGCTCAGAATGTCCAGAAAACAAAGGGCACACTTGGTAGTTTGAATTTGCTTCGACACGCGAAAGATGCATGTAAGTCGAGAAAACATTGTCGCTGACCTCAAGTGGCGAGACAATAGTATGGAAGCTTGCCTACATTTATTTAGGTTTTTTTTTTTTTTGTAAGCGTTTTTTTTTTTTGTGCTTACATATCAGTTTAAGATTAGGGATATCACGGACTCGTCGAACTTGAGGTTATGCGTCGAATTTCAAGGTTCGGAGAAGTTCGGCTTTTTAGCAAGGTTGTCCGACTTTTGAATAAAAATAGTTTACACTTACATCAACAAACATATATATATATATATATATATATATATTTACTGTCGTATTTTAATTTTATCAAACGATTAGCAATCTCTTGTACGAAAGTCAAAATGTAAGCGTTTAAAGCTTTAGTTAGTTTAATCATGTGAAGCTATAAACCAGTATACTCAATAAATTTGGCAACCCTCTTTCGCCTGGTGGTGTCAGTTAAATATAAAATTTGGCGCATGCGCACCACAGTAAAACATCAGTAAAATTTTTCTCAAGCATTGTTAAAAAAACAAACAAAAAAAACTTAAGTTTGGTCAAATAAGGATTCGGTAGGTTCCGCAACCTCCGTATTTCAGACTATTCGAGCCTCACCGTTGATGTAACCCCACCGCCCTGACTTAGCTTTAGAAAATGTGACAGCTTTACAGGTAACCACGTGGGTTAAGGGCCTTCACAAAATTATAACGTGCCTGTCGCCTGAACCATGCTATGCAAAAGAAAAATTACTTACAGTTCCACTGTGCGCCGCGGTGCCCTGGACCGTCAGATTTCGAGATCAGTAATGACTAAGTTAGACCTCAAAATTTATTGAGGTCCGTATAGTTATGACGAAGATTGAATTAAAAAAGCACTATTCTTTCAAAAAAACATGCATTTTTTTAAGTGCCTGAACAAGATCCGTACGTCACGAGACAAATTTTCTCCTAACAAAATAATAATACTGAGCATTATATATACGATGTGAGAGCTATTTTGAGTAAGGAGGAAAAGCAAAACTGACCTCCATGTGAAAACGACGGCCTAGGTACAGAAGTTAGGGTAGTGCAACGATTTTAGTGTTGAAAGAATTGGCAGTTTGTATTTTTTACATTGTTGATCCAAGCACAAGTGACCAAAAACGCGTCACCCTGCCCCGAAAAACTGCTATTCCGATGCGTAATCGCAAAGAAGAAAACGAAATATTTGCCGATCTGCAGCCCCCGTGTGGTGGTTAACGGAACTGATGTGTGACGTACTCTGGGGGATACGCGGAAGTGAACAAACCCTGTCCCCCTCCGCTGCTACACTCGCCGTTATCCCCGTGGCGAACCGTCTTTTGTGTCGATCGCTCGCCGCGACCTTCGACGATGCTAATCCTTTAATATTCGATAATCGCGGAGGAAGTGGCTGGGGTCTTTGAAGAGAGAACCCAAGGGGAAACTACGTGATCTCCCAGAGTACGTCACTCGAAAGGGGACGTGGTGAGTTGAGAGTCACTTTGATCTTCGATTTGATTCATATTTTTTTACATAAAAACTTGCGCTCGAAAGGAAATGTGGTTTTCTGTTTTTCGTTCCATGGGTGACACAGATTAATTTCAGCAGTTGATTGGCCAAAGTCTAAAAATCGTTGCACCGCTTCTTTAAGGTCTTGCTGTGCAAATACTCACATTTTATTTTTGTGTTTTAGTTTTGCGGCATACGTGTCTTATGCGGACAATACGAAAAATTTGGGGTGTTTGGTGTCCATTGAAGCGTAAGATTTTCTAATCTGATGTCCCAAAAAATACTTACAGGGTTTGTTTCGCCTAAAAAATAACTTATTCATTACCGAACGCTCATTCTCAGCCAAAATGTAGCCGTTGTTTGAACCAGATGCCAAAGCTTCATAGCTAACCGCTATCTTATTCAAAAGTTATAACCGATTTTCTGACATTTTTAGTGTGAAAATGTCGGCCGGTGTATTTCTTGTATTACATGCAGCTAAATGGCACCAGTTACCGAAAACGGGCGAAAACGGGCGAAAACGGGTCCCATTTTCCCATTCAATTTTTCAGAAAAACAATAACTTTTTTTTATTGAGGTGACGAGGCTAGTTATAAAATTTTGACAGTTGGTTCGGACAGCTAGCACTACATTTGAACGGAGAATGAGCGTTCCACGACGAGGAGTTTATTTTTGCGGTGAAATATACACTGTAAAACTTTTTTTGGAGACATTTTGTACACCTGAGTGACTTGTTTGCGTGAAATTAACAAAAATTAAAATTCTGACCCAGTTTAAAACAAGCGAAGCGAAGCCATCATTTTTCGCCGTTATCAGGCAGCCCTAATTATCGTTGTTCTAGCTTGTATAGGTTCTCTCAGAGAAGTGGCCTCCTTTGTGGAATGGAGCACCGGGTACGCATGTACTTTTACTCAGTAGCTGTCAAACAAGTGAATTTATATGAAGCCGCGTACAGAAAATGACAACAAGATCTCGTAAAAAGATGTACTGTACTGTCGTACCCATTGTTTTGAAATGAGCACAAAAATGAATGTCGATGAGCCAGGCAAGCTTGTGGCTTCGTGATCGAAGTAAATCTTGATAGCGGCTGGTTATGTGGCTAGAATCGCGAGCTTGAAAACTTTGCTTTACGTAAAAGAAAGGTTCGGTCACTGGACGCTCGTAAATTTTTACCTTGCTGCTTGCAGTTTAAAACTCCACAGTGTCACATCTCAAGTTCTCGTATAACTCCACCCCGAGTAAAAAGCCAGGTCGCAGATTCTCACTGTGTGGCAGCAATCCAAGATTTTTCGCAGCCTTGATACGGATGTCCTGGAAAGTTGTATCTCGGCGTTCCCTTAACTTTGCTCGAATTACTCAAAGTGAAAGGAAACTAGAGTATTAAATAAATCGCTCAGATATTGCCCACGTTTGACCGAATTAATAACTGGAAAAGAATGTTGGCAGTAAACAGCAGAAGCATTTTGAACAAACCATCCTCAAGGTTTACGCACAAACCGCACTTCGTCGGTTAAAATGTTTACCGTGTTTTTGTTTTGAGTTCACTGGCCCTGATTTTTCACAGCTCGTATTCCAAACTATACTCGTTAGCGTGCAACCCAACGTAAAGACCTGAACTTCGGCCAGCTTCCGGTTAAAACGAGAAAGGAACATCAATATCAAAATACGGCTCCGTACTCTCGGACCCTCCGCAACCAAACTGAGGTAGACAAAAACAAAGAGCAGAGGAAAAGACAAACCAACACTCACTTCGAGTTAGAGCAGACGATGAGCCAGTCCGTTCTTTCCGAGGACGGTGCATGCGGTCGCGCCGCAGAGTCCTCTTAACACAAGCTGTTCAAACCTGCCGCGAAAGCTGAGGAAAGGTGCCACGCGCACAGCTGATCCTTCGTGCCGCCACGGTATGCAGCGATTCCGGGGTGCTGCGAAGGAGTATAGCGACCCGCGCGGTGCGTTCCAGCGACCTTGTTACCTCGAACGAGATGCCGAACCGCTTTGCTTGGCGCCGTCGCTGTCGCGCTAGAAGCTCCGCAAGAACGCGGGCGAGAGCGGATCAGGACCGGTCTAGCTAGCGGGGAACGACGTCAAGAAAAAACAAACGCTAAAAAAGGTGAATGCCGTAGAGAAAGGTGAGGAAACAGAAACTGTGTTTTGGGAGCCAGAATAAGAACACACCGCACTGAGATGAAAGCGAAAGAGGCACAGCTCGAAAAAACTTGAAGGCACGCGGTAGCTCTATGTTTCAGTTGGTGAGCGATCTGACGGCGGAGCAGTCGGTTACCAACTGAACGTGATAACAGATGCTGCTTGGGGGACTTCCGCTATAAAAGCCGGCACCAGCTGCTGCGAGCGGCATAAAAGGTTCCACGTATAGCTCGAAAAAAATAAATAAAAAGATGCTCGAAAGCAGACGCAGTCGTCCTCTGAGTATTCACAATGCGTGAAGAAAATGCACAGATAGCAGAAGCGGAAACGACGTACTTTGGTGTTTGTTGGAGGGCCTAGACTCACTCGAGACAATACAGGCACGGTTCCAAAACGCAGTGCAACCCTTTGCATGTGTGCTTGTCGTATAGTGGGCGTCGACGGTCGCTGTCCTTACGGTTAGGGCTGTAGCTTACTTTAGGGACTTTTAGAAGATCGTACGCTAGAGCTACGCTTTGTTCGCGGGAGCTCGTGTCGTCACTTTGAAACGTCGATTGAGCACGCGCCCGTTGGGTTCGCTCTCGCAGCGTACGGTCTACTAAAACTCTCTTTTGTGTTAAAAAGTATACCGTTTGATTGATTGGCGTTCACGTAGCGCGAGAACGTCACACTTTTATGGGGGACTTTTAACAAACCTTTACCGTGTTCCGAGTACCGCACTACGGGAACTTTTGAAGCATGCATTTAAGCGCGAGCCACGCGGTCACTGTACTACTCGGGCTCGTGCTTAAAAAGTATGCTTCAGAGGTTTCAATAGCGCGGTACGCGGGACACGGTAACGGTTTAATTTATTAATAAATACCGTCAAGTCTCGAGTAACGAGCACAGATTTGATTTTTGTACCGCCAATTAATTGTACTAATAAATCGTGAAGTAAATCATTTGTATGTTGCTTACACCCACAGGATCCATTAAAATACAATTAACTTCACTTGATTGCATAACTATGATATAGTAGTCAGTAAATTTCCGCACAGTGAGCGTTCCTTGAGGCTGGCTTTTTTTTTCAATATCAAGTTCGGTTTTATTCAATAGTTTCACAGCCGGGAACTGGTGATAAGATACCACACAGGGAAACGACTGGTTTCCAACGCGGAGCGCAATTTCGTCTGCTTCTTTTGCAGGAATTGTGGTGACGTCAAAATGCCGAGTTCTGATTGGCTCTGACTGGAAGGATAGTGGGTAGACCTCAAGGCAGCTTGCTCTGAGGTCTACCCACTATCCTTCAATCACAGCCAATCAAAGCTCGGCGTTGTGAGGTCACCTGCTGCAAAAAAAGCAGACGAACCTACGCTCAGCATAGGCTTTGAGTGCGTACATATTGGGTGTTCGGGAGAAAAGAGAAGCGCGTTTTCCTCACCGCAAAAAAAAAAAAAAAAAAAAAAAAAAACTACGCGTTTCCGCATGTTCAGACTCCACCCAAACGCACTAGATATACAGACCAGATACCAAGACTACAAAACTAACCGTTGTCTGATTCAAAATTTATAAGCAATTTTGGGTAAATTTTCTACTGGTGAACGAGGCGCGTTCCCAGTAGCGTTCGCCATTCATCTCCAAGTATTTGAGTACTCCGTTAGTCGCCATTTTAGCATCGAAAACTTCAACAAAAAAAAATCGCTTATAACTTTTCAAATAGACGAAATATAAGTTTTTAAACTTTTGCTTCTAACTCCACCTGCTAACGCTACGTTTAGGCAGAAACTGAACGTACGGCGATGCGTAGTTTTTGTTTGCGTTGAGAAAAACACGACTCTCTTTTCTTCCTAACATCCCGTATATTTGTTTCACGATTGAGGAGCTACTTACTGTTCCTGGCTCTGGTGTTTTCTCATTTGCGCCAAACTCCTGCCTGCGGTCACCAGATTGCGCGCATCGAGTGAGCCCTTGAACAATGTTATCAAAACACTCCCACTGTAAGAGGGCTGTCGTAGAACAACCAGCTTGAAATCGTTGATACAGTCTGGCTGAGGCAACTAATGAGGAAATGCTGCTTCCGCGTCTGTCGAGGCAAATCTAAGGGCATTTGAGTCCTGATAAGGTTTAAGATATAGTCTCGTTGAAGTGGATAATGTATGTCTCGTTCCTATAGTCACCATTGTTGCCCCCCCCCCCCCCCTCCCCTCTTTCCTTCCGGCCCCCAAATCGCTCTTAATATGGGGGGATCCTCCAGAATAACGAAACAAATATGCACTTTATTACCCAGTTCCTCCCTGGAAATCTTTGCCCATATAGAGGGCTACCTATATTGGCGACTTTTAGCAAACCGTTACCGTGTTCCGCGTAGCGCACTACCCGAGCCTTTAAAGCATGCTTTTAAGCGCTCTTTCCGCGGTCACGGTATCACACTGGCGCGCGCTTAAAAGCATGCTACAAAGGCTCCGGTAGTGCGATATGCGGAAAACGGTAAAGGTTTGCAAAACGACCCTACTAACGCCGTCCATATTAACGAAATACGACTGCATGTGAAAATGAATGAATGAATGACGAATGAATGAATGACGAATGAATGAATGAATGAATTAATTAATTAATGAACGAATTATTTAATTAAGTAATTAATAATTAGTGCCTTATTAAAATTTTAATTCCCGAGCGAATATTATATCGTGGGAAGGCCGAAAATATATAAAATAAATAAATATTGAGTCTGTCGCAGCACGCTCTGCTGTTCTACCTTGCGGCCATAACTTATAAATTGGTCAATAAATGTAATACGTTAGATCCTGTCGTTATTGTGTTTAGATTTTCAGGGAATTCAAGACTTACAGTAATGTCTATGGAATGTTCCGAAACGGGAGAACCATTCAGTTGATTATGAGGAAAGGTAAAGAAGCATCAAAATATCCTGTAAGCATGCCACTACACATTAGTCAAGCGGATGAGCAAAGGGAAAGGGGAGGGAGAAAGTGGCGCGAGATGAGGATCATATATACTTCGTGGAAATTGCGGACTGGAAAGTTTTAACGGTGTTTGGCTAAGGTTGCAGTCACTGCAGCCGTTATTTTGCCAATTTATCCGAGCAATTAGTTCAGTACCGCGTACGTAGGCCACCCCAGCCCCACCCCTGCTCGTTTCGATCTGGATGAGCATCGTACCGGCGTGCGGTCGTGTATCGCTACTGCGTGAGCACGTTGAAGACCCCCAGGTTAGCGGTCATACCGCACTGGCGAAATTGCTCATCTACAGTGTAAACCAGTGTCGCCTCATCCTGGCAGACCGACCTTGCGCTGTATAATCACTAAAACGTCGGATTTAACTTTTGATTTGGGTACGTAGGCACACACACCCAACACGCTCGCCTGATGAGTACAAAATACTCAAAGTAAATCACTGAAATAAGGCGTTGATGAATGCAGGCAAAGTGTAATTTCTTTGAGATTTTCGCGTCGTAACAGTTACCGCTGCAAACGCTAGGGCTAGCGGCGCGTGTAACCACGCATTCCAAGTACGCTCCTTGGTTCCTGGGTAATTTTTCAAAATATCAATTTATTTCTTTAGATATGTATAAACATACAAATTTGCGTTTTGCTTAGATTTGATTGCAATGAGTGATTTAGGCGCGAGCTTCGATATAATGCTCCAGTTGTAAGAGCGCTCGTACAGCCGAGGCACATTCTAAAGCAGAGAGCTCAGACTTCGCGGGATGCGGTCTCCGGGTAACCTGAGACAAAGTTTAATGGCAGTGCTTCTGCGCTACCGTACCTGAATTCGATTAGTGAATAAGCTAGTGGTCAAGTTTAAGCTGATCACCAAAGCAAGTTTTATATATACATTTATGCAAGCTTCCGCGCCATAAAAATTCAAGAATCTCACAATTCGTGTCAAACGCTGTTTTGAAGGCCCTTTTCCAGAGCAGTTGTTTAGCGACGTTGTCGGTCACAGTTCCGTGGGTCGCTTTCATTATGGCGGAATGCGGTCTTTCCAAAGCTCTCAGTCGGCGAAAACAAGCAAAAAAAAAAGTTGCTAGAACCTCTGTTCCAGTACGATGACTTTCACGACACTCGCTCTGCGTGTATTCACTTGAGAAGGAAATTGTGCTGCATCTACCACGTATTGACGCTGCCACCAACACTTTTTCGAAGCGTTCTATCGAAACGTTCTAGCATTCGCGTGCCAAGTGTGCCTTCGGCGTTCGCCTTCGAGTAATACATTTATTCCCATGTACATCATAAGGAACAAACCTAAATCATGTTCGCTGTGGACTTGTCCATACGAGAGTTTATATGGGTAGGAACTAAGGAAGAGGAAGAGAGGGTGCGCTGGTCGTCAGAACACCGAACTCTCTGGTTGGAAGTGCTAGTGGATAGACGCAAAGCTATAGCTGTCTTTGTCTTTATACACTGTTCTATCGCGTTCGAGCGCCTTCGAATGCCGAACACCGGCGTCCGGCGTTCGGCGTTCAAACGCGTTACATCAGTGAGTGAAGACGAAGGCAGCTATAGCTTTGCGTCTACCCGCTTATCTTTCCAAACTAAGCTGGCTGTTCCGACGTCCCAACGAACTCCCATTTTCTCCTCTCCCTCAATTACTACACGTATTAGAACTTTCGGTTCTTCCTCTTAAAACATCGCCATTTCGTTGATGAGTCTTTCCTGAAGTCCGAAATCTTTACTCAAATTGAAGAGAGCGCTGTTTCAGTCGCGCTACCAAAATTCCGAGAAATTAGAGTAAAGCGAACGCGTTGTTTGTCCTGGTGCGTCGAAATGTATTTGTTGTACTACAAATAGTATACGAACGCCTCGAGCAAACTATTCTTTGTTTGAAAAGGATAACACACTGGTACGCACAATGTGTAAAATAGGATGACTTAATGTTTCAGCTTTCTGTTATACGTCGTCATGCGAGCGGGCATTTTGGCAAAAATATGATTGTTTAAATCAAGTGTATGGTAAGGCACACGTTGATAACATTAATTAAACTTTAAAAACATGGTACAAAACTCTCTGTCCCCCTCTCTCTCTCTATCTATATATATAATGTGAAGCGGTTTCAACTTTTGGGGTAGAGAACCACACTCCTGCCTATCTCCAGAAGGTAAGCCCTTATTGAAATTTTCTGTCCGCACACACGATTGTCTTTAATTTTTCTAAGTTTCTAGCACAATTATTTAGGAAAGATT